AATAATTTTGTTGGTTATAAATATATATATTGGATTTTTGGTAAGTATATAGCTTTACTTCCCACAGGTTTTGTATTACGGACCAAAAACGTTCTGCACCTTCTGCGTAATTGAAGCAAACTTTTCGAACAAACTGTGGAGGCGGCAGGGGACATAGGGATCGGGCATTGGGTACAGAGTGTAGAGTGTAGAGAGAACGCCGGCCATGTTTGAATACGAGTCGCCAACATGTTTACATAAAATGGACTTGGTTTACAATTTGACTAAAAAAAAAAAAGAGCTCCTCAAACGAAAAGCACAATTTATGCTGATTTGGACAAAAAGCAAATTTAATAAAGAATAAGGCAGGAATACGAATGTTTACTACTCTGCAGGTATACCCAGGTAAATATATAGTTTAAGCGACATTGTATACAAACAGAGAGAGCAAAGTAAATAAAAGACAACAAATTTTCTATAAATCGTAGTGCGCATTGAAAACTTAGTCGATAAATTTCTACATAATACGTCATACATACATGCATATATATGTCATACATTACACTATTAGTCAAACAGATCTTAAGCATATAAAAAAACTTTTCATTTGTCTTGAAAATTCACAAATTTTCATTGCAGCAATTGCTTGAATAGGAACAGCTATAAAATGAGCTGCCTATCTTAATTTGGATAATAATTCACTATTGAATAGGAGGGCATAGGCACTCATGTTTATATTTTATAACTATACAATATATTGATAAGTTTTTAGGTATATGACTAAACTAGTAAAACTAAAAATAGTTCTTCAATTGGCTGTTCATGCAACCAAATAAGAATGTGTGATTTTCTAGGCGTATTTATATATATATATGTATGTATGATATATAGTTGTTCCATAATTTAAATTATATTTTCTACCTAGCGTAATATTATTTACTTTATTCCAATCAACTATGTTTTCAGGACATGTGAAATAGTTTTGATTAATATATAGATATTATTTTATTTTATCTATATCTATCTTATTACATATATATGAAATAAAATGAATCTATCAATCAAAAATATTTCTTATGTCTAGAATACTCAGTTGATGGGAATAACGTAAAGAGGCTATACATATTATAACGCTACACTGATCATAGTCTAATTATATAATTTGACAGAATTTTAACATATAAGACTTAAATATTATACATATATTTTCTATATTACTTCTTACAAGCTGATTACAAAATAAGAAATTATAGATAGAGATGATTCCAATTACTTCATTCTAGACGCACATAGCTCGACACAGTCGTAATACCCTTTCTAAGGGTATTGAAGAAAAGAGATAGCTAGAGGTTGCACGGAATGTGCAATGTTTGCTAATTATTGTAAATGGATCACCTGCTGGGGGTTTTAGTCCTCAGCATAGGGGGCATAGCTGGTGATCTGGCGTGCCACAATGTTGAGTATTTCACGGGCGGGCATCTCCTGCTGTTCCCTGATGATGGCCGTGATGCGCGCACACTCCTTCACATAGTTCTCCAGCTCGCGCTGATTGGGCGCTCGCCGAGCCGGCTCTTTGGAGCGCAGCGCCTGCAGGCATTGCCCAGTTATCTGAGCTAGCTGCGAGCGAGCCGGACTGAAGGTCTCGTCCAGATCGAACAGCTCGAGCGGCGGCGCCGGCGGCTCACTGAAAATTGGCGGAAACGTGGCCAATTGCAGCGGAGGTAAAGGTATTTCGAATTGCGGCTTAATTATGCGCAGCGGCTCATAGTTCACATGCAACTGCGTGTAGGTGTCGATCACATCCTTCAGCAACCGATTACTCAGAGAGCAGAGCGACATGTCGAACATTTGCTTAAAGTCCGAGGGCATCTCCGTGCCAATGGAGTCAATCAAGCAGGCCTTGGGCATATCGGCCAGAAAGGCAAGGTCCGTGAAGTGTTTGTTGTCGTTTAGCTATGGGAAAAGCGAACGGAAAAGATTAATGTAAAACAGAAATGTAATACCCAAAGATAGCTCTTATCAACTAAGAAATATGCTCTTATATAACTGAATACAGTGGATTATTTATATATATAGATTTAATACTTATATACATATCCATCTCCAGCCGGATGCATAAGAAATACAAACCTCCACATCATTGAAGTCCAAGTGCGTGTAGTTTATCTCATCGGTGCCCAGTAGCTGGAGCATATACTCCAGCATGGCATCGTTCGTTTTGTCCTGCAAGTACTTGTCGTGCCATATGTATCCGGAGCCCAGGGCCAATATCTTGCCACCTTTGGCATTGCTATAGTAGCCAGCCAAGGGACGATTGAAGGGATAGACGACAGGTCCCGTGGTCAACAGCACGTTGGCTGGCTCCGAGACATTTAGAGTAGCACCGTAGGGATATTGAAAGTGTATCTTGTACTTCTCATCGCTGAAGTCGTAGTCCACCTTCTCGATGTCCCGTTTGAGCAGCTGTCGCCACATGGACTCGCAGACGACGCCGCCGCCCACGATGCACTCCTTGGGATGGAAATTTTTGTAGTAATGCGGACGCACTACGTTATCGCTGTTGATGTAGATGCCGTACTGTTCCAAGAAGAAGTTGACATTCGTATTGAACTCCTGTTCGCCTCCTTCGCCGAGCAGCACCAACAAGCTGCCGCCCGATTGCTCCACATAATCCTTGAGAACCTCGAACTCCTCCTCGGTGAAGCGGTCCTGTGGTCCAGCCAATACGAAAATCTTAGTGCGTGCCAAGCACTCATTGTTTAGCTCAATTTCGTTTCTATGAATCGGATATAATGTTATACAATAAGTTATATCAATCTAAATCAGATTCTTAATCTAATCAGATTCATTTCACTTACTGTTCTACATTCCAGTTGGCCTTTAGCTTGCGATGCAACATTTTGTAATTGTCCGTTATTTGAAAACGTTCATTTTTAGATATATCAAAACAAATTGTAGGTTTTTGAGACATTTTTCAAGCTTTTTAATAAATTAAATTTTCATTAAATGTGTTATTCAGTTTTTGGTTGCTAAGCAATATCCGGCAAAACAATTCCAAGAGCCGCACAGCGTAGTGAGCGGATTAAATATCCAACACATTAAGTCGCCTTTGCATACACATTAATCACAGAAATAATAAATTTTTAGCATATATATATATTTTTTTTTTTCAATAACCCGCACTTGTGAGCCACTTTAGCGGCATAGCTCTTTTATCGAAATATCTGGCAGCACTGCTGCTGCGCATCTATGCGCACGATTGCGCAACACCAGTTCGATAGTGCACCGAAATCGACTCCATCATCGAACCAGTTGCGAACCACCGTATACCACTCACTAATCAACACCTGCCCTGAGTCTCGCTGTGAAAAATTACGAAAGAATTCGGTTGTTCAACGCTTTCCAAGATCAACAAATCTTTGCTTAACGAACAATAATGGCATCAATTTGTGGACGCATGGCGCTTCGTGCTGCCGCACGCCAAAATGTGACATACAACTCCGTGCGTACCTGCAAAAGTAAGTAATAAAAACGCGCAATTCAGCCGTCACGTTCGCACTGTCCGTGTGGCAAGGGAAACGCTACCAAGGCAGCGCCTCCATCATCCATATTACATAATAGAAATCTAAATCAAAGGCGATGCAGAGCCTGCTGTGAGTGCAACAAGGTTTTATCTACATTTCTAATGACCAACAAATGTGTCACTGTATGGTGGAGGTTATGTAATAGCTGCGTCCAGTGCAAAGACGTTATTTGCTTCTGCATTCTATGCCAATTCAAAAAAAAACGCAAAAATCATAATTCGCACCTTGCTTCGTTATCGCTAGTATACTAATACATTAATAATTGGCAGTAGTGTATTTGTGCGTGTTAATGTCGAAGGAGTTAAGCCTTTTATATAATCAATGTGCGCACACAGCTGATTCAGCAAGCGGTTAATGTAACCAGGGGCGGAGTGAAGGGGCTTATAGCGAAAAAGCGCTGAGTGACCGAAGACAAACTATCCTCTTTGATATGAGCGTCATATGTAGAAAGTACTACAGTGAAAATGCCGTTTGTATCTTAACAAGAGAAAAATGACCGAAGCTAAAATACCCTATTTTAAATATAATATCAGATGTAAGGTATGCTTACAGAGGGTATGAAGAACGTGAGTGAAAGGACTGTTAGTGATCGAAGAATATTCAGTGAAAACTGACTACAAGAAGTAGGCTTATATTACTACAATATACTCGTTGCATAAATTGCGGGCTCGGCTTCTGATAAACTCAACTAACTGCTTCTCCTTTTTCCGTAGTGATGAACGACCCGTTGGAACACGCCACGGGTATCGAGAAACGTGAACTGCTGCTGAAGGCGGCCGGCAACGATAATCCTTTCGACATGAAGGTGTTCAAGCGCGGTGCTGGCACTAAGGAGAACCCCAACCTGATTCCATCGGCCTTCGATGCCCGCATTGTTGGCTGCATCTGTGAGTAGCAGAAGAAAATAATGAGTAGCTGGAGAAAATAATCTACTCTCTCATGAACTTTCAGGCGAAGAGGATCAGACCTATGTGCAGTGGATGTGGCTGCAGAAGGGCAACCAGAAACGTTGTGAGTGCGGCCACTGGTTCAAGTTGGTTGAGAAGGCAGCTGTTTAAAGTTATTATTAATTAATTAAATAAACCAATTAATAACACAAACAAACAACACACACATAAAAACAACAACTATTAAGCTAAAAGTCAACATAATAGCTTTCCAAATAAAAACAAACATCAATCCAAATAACCAAAATTGAAACAAAAACCGAAACCAAATGCAAAATGCATATGCACCGCGTCTGGATGAAGCTTTTATTTACGTTTTGGCTGGACACGCTGATTGCAATCGAGACACGTGTAAAAACGTTTAAATAAACTACATTTAAACAAATGTTAAACCTAGCAAATACTTTAAAGAGGTCTCCAACTGTGAATCGTGACTCTTTGAGAATTGTATTTTTCGGAATGGCGTATTACTATACTAGAATAAGTAAATCTCAAATGTATAGTTTTATAGTCCGTAAGGCTGGCAGTCACATAGCTACATTTCTTAAACCCATTGAGAACTGTAATTAGATCTGAACGATATCGAAGTAGGCCAACAACTTTTCTATATCCTTGTCAACATTCTCCGCTGCTAGCTCATTCAATATTTACTTCGTCGGGAAGTGAATTTTACATTGAGCTACAATCGTATATATACAATTCATTTTCATAAAACGTAAACTAAAATTATAAAAATATATAGACACATATAGTATATGTAGATGAATATAGTTAGCTAGGATGTCGTCTTTTATCTCGCGCCTTCTCAAGTCTCCGCTCGCATCAAAGCGTCTCGTATCGCAGCTCACGCAACGCGGCGAACGGAAGCTGGGGGCGCTGCTGCGTGAGCTCGGCTTGCAGCGTGTGCTAGGAGCTCTTGGAATCAAGGAGTTCGTGGGCGTGGCTAATCGTGGCATTGCCACTACGCCAGTCAGTAACAAGCGTAAGTAGGCCGGGTGTGAAGCTGCAGCTAGTCTTAATGGGTCCTCTTACCTGGCGCAGAGCTGACGGATGACCTGGAGCTGGCCACGGGCATCTTTAAGCGGGAACTGATGCTGCGTAAGGCCGGCTGCACCGATCCGTGGTCTATGAAGAAGCCCATGAAGCGGGGCGCCGGCAGGGAGAATGATCCCACGGAGGTGCCCTCCGCCTTCGATGGCCGTATTGTCGGCTGCATCTGCCTTGGGGATCGCTCAGCGAAGTGGATGTGGCTGGAGAAGGGCGCTCCCAAGCGCTGCGAGTGTGGACATTATTTTGTGCTCAAGAATGTGCCCGCTGTTTGAAACATTATTTATTTGTTTTTCGCGAACAACCCAAATGGGGCGCTGTATCTACACGCAGACCTGCTCATATATATCTGCACACAGACAATAACGTCCATGGACACACCTCCACATGCTTGCACTGGGACACCTTGACATACACATTCCAACACTAGAACAATTAGAAATATTGAACTGATCTACTAAAACACAGGCTTAAACCCAAACTCGAAAGGTATTCATAGAACATTGCATGATATTATCAGAAATTTAAAAAAAAAACTGAATTCTAGTGATGAATGGAATTTATATATAATTGCCTTTAGTCTAGAAATAGATTAATGTTTACATTTTTATCGGATCGACGATTTACTTCTACTACTACTAGCTGCTGCTTAGTGCACGTTGCATTACATTGAATTCTAAAACTATTGATAGGGTATAAGACACTTGTATTTCTTGAAAGAAATCTAGAAAAAAAAAAACTAAATATAGTATGAGTGCTTCGTTGTCCACTTGGATTACTTAGTCGTGTCAAGTGAATCGAATCGGAGCAGAATCATAATGGCCAAATATCGTAAATGATGCAGAAATTCTGGAATTAGTACATCAATGAAGCTTCCATCACAGAGATATAAGATCGTCATAATTGGGAAACTCACAAAATATATACGAATAAACAATAGGTAAAAAGAGAGACTATGGGAAGCCGAAGGAAAGAGCGAATGAAATGATGCATTCAATTGTTGTTCCAAAATAGCATTACCACATTTTGCATTACGTTTTATTCTTTATTTGGGAATGAGCTCATTCACAGTAAATCGAGAAAATCAAAAATATAGTCTAACAAGTAAAAACAACTAGAAAAATCAGTTTATGTTTATTAAATATAGAAAGGTGTGTTTTTTTTATTTTTATTTTTTTTATTGTCGCTAAATATATATAGTGTTTCATTCATAATTGCTAAAGCAAGCAAGTTTGCAAAAAAAAAAAAGTAGATAAATAACAGGTCAACGCCTCTGTGAACACAGTCTGGTGTTTGCAGTGAGTTGAACATCGGTAAGTGTCGATCCTACGACTTATAGCGCCGCTACCAACATCGCCTCTAGAAATTAGTTGGTAGTTTCAGTATGTGACTTAACAATGGATGTTTAATCGGAAATATTAAGGAACCTTGTCGATTTAAAGGAGATACTCGATCTTCAAAAAATTCAAGTCTTTAGCTCCAGCTAGATTTATACGATCAATCAGTCTACCGTGGCTAAATCGACACCACTCGTCTTTGCTCAAGAATATATATGTACATATGTAGTACATACCTTATGGGATTTACCACGCGTCCTGTTATAAATATTATTAAACTGTATCCCCGCAGCATTAAAGCCAAAACATTTCGCACTTAAGTATCAAATTAAGATCCTTTGACTCCAGACTCTCTCTGACCAGACTAGAATATTACTTGCTCATGTTAATTTTTATTTACATTCCTTTAGGCAATAGAAAATAAATACATGTGAACATATTCAAATTATTTAATTTCTGTTTAATATACAATCATAAAATGTTTGTTCTTATTTTATTAATAGCATTAAATAAAATGCTTATCAGATTGACTGATTTGAGCCAATTATGACATTATTGTAACTTACGCTGAATAATCTTATAGATACTCATATATCTAAGGCAAACATAAGGATACGTTATATAAAGAGTTTTTTGTGATTTGATTGCTAACTACTTCACTAGTTTCTAAATTCTACTGGAGCTGCATACTATTTTAATGTGTAGCCCGTCAAGAGATATCCACTGTTACCGCTCATGTTGACCTCCGGATGAGTGCGGTTGGGCAGTATTTGATACGTGCGCATCCAGTTGGATGTTAGATGTAGGTTTGTCACTTTGCCCGTTGTCTTCAGATCCATGTATATTTCCTGGAGCAGCTCCTTGCACGTGCCGAAGATGACAACGGGTCGCGAGGGCTTTACCAGTGGCAACAATGCTTGCAATATACTCGAAGGATGCTCCTTGGCAGCCATTACTAGACTATCGAATTTCTCATTCATTAAAGCGGCAGCGCGCTTATTCTCCACCTGCCAACGTTGATGTGCTTTATTGGCTTTGGAAAAGAAAGAGGGAGCAGAGATTAATGTGATTCAAACGAGGATTACTTCGATTCAATATTAGTCAAGTGGTAAATCAGTTAGCTTACAGATTTAGGAGAACAGAAAGCATTCGATTAAAAAAGCAAAAGATGAATTGATTGAAGCAGATAATCATCTAGTCAGCAGTATCGATTGAGAGATATTTTTCTTAAAATTGCATGTAAAGGCAGTGCATTGGGTTAAAATGGATGCTTTTGATGGAAGATTCGCTAAGCTAGAAAAGGATTGCTTACAGTTTGGTGACTCCAATTTAACCTTCTTGCTACTGGGTTCAAAACCTTCGCTTTGCTCTTCTGCAGTCACCTCAGTCTCAGTCACAGCCTCAACCTTCTCTTCGTCACCAGACGACTTTGTCGCTTCTGGCTTGTCGCCTTGGTAGAATTCACGCAGCACTGAATATAAATTAACAGATATGCAACGTTGTTGCTGTTCGAAAGGCAATTTCAGAGCGAGTAGCGCCTGCTTCTGTGGCACATTGCCTGGATGCATATGGACCAGTGTTGCCTCTGTGCCAGCGCCCATAGAGTTTAGCATGGCTGCTGGAAGGAGGCCATTCGTGCCGCTCTCGTACAGCAGATAGTTGCCAAAACCGGATATGCCCGAGTAGGATATAATTTGTGAGAGCGTATCCACACGTATGCCCATGATTTTATCCGGATCCTGCCGATGGAATATATCGGCCATTAGACGTATGGTGGGCTGGCGAATTTGGACAAACTCAAAATACTTCTTCTCCTTCTTCAGCAGATATTTATCCTGTGAGTATTCGGTGCGGTTGTGAAACGTTTTCGAGTTTTCCACTAGCTTCTCAATGATCTTGCTTGACTCGTTGCATTCCTCACGCATCTGCTCGATGTCCTGTAAGAATAAAAGCGAGCTTATAAGGATTTACCATTCAGTCATTTGCTGCCTCACTTACCGATGATTTCAGCGATTGTGCCTCGCCATTGTCGCTAATATCCCGGTTGTCGGCTCCACTGCTAGAAATATTGAGCACGTCTCTAATACTTCGTAATTCATTTTCGGTGCACAGCTCAAGACTGTGCTGTCGCTGTGCGCCACGTTTGCCCGCCTTCGATTCTTTTACACACATCTTAAATGTCGAGCCGTATGGCTGGTCCAGCAGTGATTTTAACTCCAGGTGTTCCTTGCCTAACGTTGCTGTCGCATCGAGACTTCCAAATTTTTGCAATTTGGTATATTTTTGCCTTTGAATGACAATATAATCACCCAACTGAATTATCGCCATCGCGGATAAATCTATTCCGGCTAAGTCAACAGCAACAGGACAGCACGCTGCTTTTTACAAAAAATTCAGCTATCGATAACAATCAATCGGTCAAAAATGGACTGCAATCGGCAGGGATGATGTAGAGTGAACTAGATTAGAGAGATCACTAACCAGATCTGGTTAGTGGAGAGATACAACAGTGGTTTTATCACTATTGTTATACAACTGCACTCTGGTTAGTGACAACTGGTAAAATTTGCTTTTCCATTTTTATCATTCTAATAAAGAGTAATTGAGTTAAGTCATTCCAAGTTCGGAGCTGTTTATCTATATTAACAAAAGCCCTTATTCGTTGAATAAATCAAATAATATTTTCAACTGATAAAGCCATATTTATTTATTTATTTATTTTTTTTCAAGCAGGTTAATATTTTGAATTAACCGGTCGGCTATCGAAAATTAGGAAAAAGGTGGCAACGCTTTCTGAAATACGAGTTTTATGCAAGCCACGCGATTATCAACATGCGTTTATAAATAAGCGCAATCTATTGACAGAGATTTCATAAATAACCGCTTCAAATTTTAATCTATCAGCAAAGAAGTGCCTTCTCTTGCCTTACATCAGAGGCCGACGTAACAGGCCCTGGACTTTGCTGCCCCTACTCGTTTGTGGAGTACTCGCATAACTAACCTGTTGTCACCCCAGCAACTGCTAATTAAGAGTTGATTGGAGCCGCGCCTGTTGTTGAAAGCAATCAGCCGGAAAGAAAATAGAAAAAGAAAAGGAAAGCAAAGCAAAATGGTTGTCGGCAAAGGTGAAGAATCGCCTTTCATCGAAGGCAAACAGCCGGTGACCCTTAATCCCTCGTGGGAGTCGCAGATGAAATCGGATCCGAAAGGCAAATGCTCGACAGTATCCAAAATTGTATCGAATCTGCAGCCGCCAGTTGACAAATACAAGTTGGTCTTCTTCATATTTATGCTTCATGGATTGGGCACGCTAATGCCTTGGAATATGTTTATAACAGCGAAATCGTATTTCGAGGACTTCAAGCTAGGTGAAAATTACACGATCAAAACTGAAGTTAACTATCGCGGCAACTTTATGCAGAATATAGGCTTTGCATCGCAAATTCCAAATGTTCTCTTCAACTGGATAAATATATTCATTAATTTCGGCGGTGATCTAACAACTCGCATTGTTTATAGCATTCTATTGGAAATCGTTATCCTTATAATCACCGTAGTGCTGGCCATGTTGGACTCATACGAGGTACGCACGTGGTTACTTGCAATATTTATATACAATTACATATATGTATATACATGTACAGCAATCCTATTTGTTTCTGTCTATTTTTAGTGGCCCGGCATATTTTTTTGGGCAACTATGAGCTCAATTGTACTTATAAACATGGTAAGTATTGATATATAATGTATTGGGCACTCTGTCAGTAAATTGTGTGTAGCTTAGTACAGAAGTTTAATACCCCAATCCAACAGATGGCCCTATTGATTCGCATCTACAGTCTCGTCGGTACCGCTACGAACATATTGATTTAATTGTCATTTAATCTTTAACCTCTGGAAGTCACAAAAAAAAATTGTTCTCTACGAAAAAAAAAAAAAAAAAAAACTCTTGCATTCTAAATAATTCCCCACTCTGGGGATCTATAATTATCAATAGGATAAGTGCCCAACTAGAAGAAGAAAAACTACATCGACTTAACTGTGAGCCCTTTTCAAGAATATAAATTAATTATTTTTAGAGCGTGTGACAAACATCGGAGCAATGCAATAATAACTTCAAAATTTCGATGAGGGTTTCTTACTGCATATGCTCCAGGTCAGTCAACGGAATTAAGAGTTTTTTAAATCTAGTATACAAATTCATACACCGACTTCACTTCATACAATTCAAACGAAAGAAATTATGGATGCGAGTAAATCCGAACTTGACTTCATCGTATTAACCAATGGCATTTGTTCGTTATTCGTGTGAAACACTTCGGCCCATTTCTCATTGGTCAATAAAAAAATACATATATAAATATCTTTTGAATCAATTAACTAATTTGTGATTTGCTTTCATTCTTCTTGCAGTGCAATGGAATCTACCAGAGTACAATTTACGGTCTTGTTGCAGCTCTGCCCCCCAAGTATACGGGTGCCGTTGTGCTGGGATCCAATATTAGCGGCTGCTTTGCCACAATTATGTCAATGCTGTGTGCGACGTTCTTCACTTCGATGCGTACATCGGCTATATATTATTTCGTGACTGCGATTTTGATTTTGCTCTTCTGTTTTGATACCTATTTTGCGCTGCCGTTGACCAAGTTCTATCGGTATTACGAAATGTTGAATAACGAAAAGAAATCGGACTCCCGATCTCAATTAAATGTTCCTTATTGGCAAATATTTAAGAAAGCCTCGCCACAGCTTTTTAACGTATTTTTCACCTTCTTTGTCACACTGGCTGTTTTCCCTGCCGTCCATTCGGACATTAAGGGATCCGATGATTTTATCATAGGCAGCAAATATTTCACGCTTGTCACCTGCTTCCTCACATTCAATGTATTTGCCATGCTGGGCAGCCTCACCACATCTTGGGTACAGTGGCCCAAGCCCAAGTATCTTGTTGTTCCAGTTGTGCTCCGAGTTGTCTTCATACCCCTTCTACTGTTCTGCAACTATGCGCCGAAGGATATTGTAAGGACTCTGCCCGTTTATATAACAAATGAATGGGTATATTGGTTGATTGCGATAATAATGTCGTACAGCTCCGGCTATTTGAGTTCCTTGGGAATGATGTATGCACCAGGCACTGTTCATGCCAGATATCAAATAACCGCCGGTATGTTTGCCTCTGCCGTCCTTATCACGGGTATTTTCTCCGGCATAATGTTCTCCTATTTGAGTCCATTAATCATACAACTTTGAAATTTTGTTCTGCTTCAACAAATGAAGATCATTTTCTTTTTTACAAATGTCATTAACCCAATTAACAATTGGATATTATTAAAGAAGCCAACTACATTTTTTATATTAATCATTGACTACGTACAAAATAAACGAAATATCTTCAGTGTTACGAAGATAAAATACCTTACTAATAACCTATGAGAACTCATTCATTCATTCATGGGGACATATTTATTAAATTGAAATAAGTATTTTTTTAATTTCGCAACAATAAACAGTCTATGAAAGAGATAAGATCAAATATGATAAAAAAAAAACAAGTAAGAAGGCTCTAGTCGAGACTGCTCGACTAGGAGATACCCTGAACTCTCTAAGCTGATATTCTAATCATTCTGCATTTTTATGCACACATACATACACATGCATCCACACGCACGCATAAGCCTGCGCTCTGCTAACTGCGCAGTGGGCAATATTATGAGAAATTATTTGCTGAATAATTTCTTTTGTAGACATAAGATCTTAATGAAACTTTCAAAATGTAATCATATGATGAATATGTGTGTACATTCCAAAGCACAAGTCTCTAGTGCTTCAAATGCGTTTTTACAAATTGGGGGTAAAGGGGGCGTGGTATCCAAAATCTGTAAATTACAAAATCTTTGTATCGATACAACGCAAATTTGGAGACTCCAGATCTAAAAATGTTCAAATTAGGCTGAAAAAACAATGCCGATTTTTCGATTACTCTAGATAAAAAAGTATGGTACACACGAGTATGCATGCCAAATTTCAGCTCTCTAGCTCTTATAACTTCTGAGATCGACGCACTCAGGGACAGGGATATATCAACTCAGCTCGTCGCGCTGATCAAGAATATATATACTTTATGGGGTCTGCCACGCCTCCTTCTGCCCGTTACATACTTTTTCACAAAAAGTGAATTCCCATTTTCAATGGGTTCAGGGTATTAAAAAAAAAAAAACAAAAAAAAAAAAAAAAAAACAGAACTGAAACAAATGCTTCAATTGAGCAATATATTTTAGATATAGGCAATAAAATTCGTAGCGATACAGAGGCAACGAAAATAAATATATAATTAGTTGTAGCTAAATATCATATTAATGAGACTGCGATTACTGTCTGCACAACTAAATACTCTTCCATAAGATAAATTTACGACCTAATAATAATTCATCATCTAAATCCTCGATAAGCGTGGATATGGTTTCTTGTTCCACCTCAATATAGAGTCCTTAGAAAGATTGTTACTTATCCAACAATATTCTCTTTAGCAAATGACAGCGTATAGAAACTACTTTCATATGATCGTGAAATTAAAAAATGTTACAATTTTCTATTTCGGTTATAGAGTCGCTCAATTATCGATGGGTGACAATTGGAACCAGACATAGAAAGAAACTGTTGCACCAACTAATAATATATAATATAAAATTCCAAGAATGAAGTTTACGAAATTGCAGAATAGAGAATATAATGCTTTATGAGGTCTATTACGTCATTTTCGATTTGTTACATGTTTACATTTTTATAAAATCCTGAGTATTTACATTAGGAGTTTTAAAAAGGTTATAAAGTTTCTTATTGACATACCATACAAAAGTATGCAGAAAAAGCTTAAAAAAAAAATTAAAAAAATAAAAAAATTAGTTTTTCTTTGGTTTTCACTATAGGGTTTTGCACAGTATATCTCACATCATTTGATTTTTATACTTTAAAATAAATTTAAATTTGCAATCAATGCGATCAATGTATAAGAAGATTGGATACCAAACTTTTGTTTTATGAAATAACATTGATTTAACATGATACGAATATTTAACAGTTTATTACAATAAAATATTTTTAATTGCACTTCGACTTGGAATTACTATGGTAAAATCAATAATCAATTTTGTAAATTTGGAAAGACTTTTGAATGTTTGGCTGTCGCTTTGCGAAATCTTTAATAAATCAGCTCAGCTCATTGTGACCAGATAAGGTTCATCAAAGTAAGACTGCACTGTAATTGCGAGCATGTCGCTTGCCAAAATTAGAATATCTAATCGCAAGGCTATAAAAATAACTTCAAAGTAGAAACATTCTATGCCCTATTTACATTTGTAAATGATTTTTAAGAGCTCACAGAATTGAGGAGAGGCGCGCGGACTCCGAGTTTCTAGTCCCGTCATCTGCTCTAGGGCTACTTCCACATCAACCACATTGCACATGATCGACTGCAGGCGCTTTGTGAATTTGGAGTCGGACGACGCAGCCAGTTGCCGTGTAGTGTCCATCATATCTCGCAAGTCCTCCGCCTTTACGCCGTGATAGCTCACGACCAGCTCCCTGAGCGCCGGCAGCTGCTCGCCGATGTGAAATCCGAAGTCTTTTGCATCCGAGATGCCCAAACGCTGCAGGCGCAACAATCTAGCTGTAGGCGCTTGCAGTATAGTTTGCTCTATATTATATCTATTGGCGGTCACGTCCAGTGTGGTTAACTGCAGCTGGGTGAGCATCTCAGCCAGGTGCGACGCCTCGATGGAGCACTCCCTTGCCACGAGCGTCTTCAGATTGTGCAGATCGACCATAAACTGGCCCGTTATATAGGCGCTCGATACGCTTAAGCAGTTCAGATGAGGACAGCTTTTGCTCACGATTTGTATCATGCTGTTGTTCATGTAGTCGTCCGTGACGCACAGCTCGCGCAGATTTGTGAGCTTCAAGCACAAATAGAATGCGAGCTCGGGTCGCAGCAAATGCCTCCCCAAATACGAGTCGAATGCCTTTTCGTGTACATTCCAGATGTACAGCTTCTCCATATGTGGGCTCGTCACCTCAAAGAAGAACATGTAGTCTTCCTTATTAAGCGGCTTCAACATATCATCCGATACGGATACTTCACGATAGCGCGCTTTCCTCCACACAATCTCGCCCAGCAGCTGCTCATAGCGCAACGAGCTCCGTGCCATTGCAATCTGATCAGGCAGTGGCAAGTACTCCAGGATAATGCAGAGACAGTCGTCATTTAGCTCATCGATGTTCATTCTCATTAATCAAGCGACAAAAAAGAGCGAAGCACCTGAACGGCAATAGAACAACAAGATAACAGCTGTTACAAATAAGTGCCTGCTGTTTGCGTGCAGTGTGACCGTTTACTGGGAATAAGAATCCTAACACAGCTGTGGCGCAGTACAATGACAAACAGCTGTTGCAGTAAACTGCTTGCTGCATTGTGCAGGGTGACCGTTTGCTTGAAAAACGCACAATATATCTAATATACTAATTAGTTAGAAAAATACTAAAATCTATTTCAAATCAATGGGCGCAAAGTGTAATTTATTAAAACTCATTATTTACCAAAGTGAAATGCGGATATTAGTTTTTCGCAATGTTTCTCTTGCTGTCCGACTGCTCGTATGATTACATACCAATTCGCTGCTAATGAAGATATTGACGATATACTTTTGACAAAGTTATAGAGCCAACAACTAAATTAATATAAATTACTATGTTAGGCTTCACAATCCCACAAAGATGTCTTGGGGCCCTACTAGACAGGAAACTCGATTTCAAAGCCCATACTACTATGGTTGGACAGTCGGTAATGGCCAAAGCCAGAAAAAAACGCTATCGCAGTACAGCAAAACCACAACATACAAGAGCATCCTAAGTCCTATCTGGAAGCGTGACCTATAAATATACGGCATTGCTTCATAAGCAAATTTGAACGAAATTAGAGGGGCCCAAGCAAAGGCTCTGAGGAGAATTTGTGATCACCATGGTACATGAGAATCCGAGACATCGAAAAGGATCTAAACGTTCCAAAGATGACAGATTTCCTACAAGTATACGCTGGTCCTTTAAATGGCTTGACAACCATACAACCATATATAGTAACGAATGGGGGAAATGACAATGGGATAAGAGATCTGCCAGCGTTTGGGCCCTAAATACTCTGAAGGATTTTTTTTTTTTTTTTTTTTTTTGTGAAATTGTATAATATAACAAGTAAGAAAGCTGTAGTCGAGACTGCTCGACTACGAGATACCCTGAAAGCTCTTTCAGCTTACACAAGAAACACGCACACGCACACACACACACAACCACACACACACACAACCACACACACACACGCACACGCACGCACTCACGCACACACAGGCATACATACACACACACGCATACACACACACACCCACACACACACATATACATACAAACACATACACACACATACACAAACATTTACACACACACAAGCACCCACGAATAAACACGCATGGGCTGCAGTGTGCGCTTACTATGGACATACGATCTTCATTAAACGTTCATTATGATTATAACATGAATATGCATGTAACTGGCAAAGCACAAGTCTCTAGTATTTGAAATACGCTTATTAGAAACATGGTGGTGAGGGGGTGGATATAGAGGTGGGGGGTAACAAAAACCGAAATTGCATAAATTGCATATAAGCATACATTAAAAATTTGGAGACTAGCAGTAAAGGTAGATATAATTTTATAACTGGTTTTCGATAAGGCTTTTTATCGATAAAAAAAAGATCGGGATGAGTTATCGATTTTTAATGATAAACTCGATATCCGCGCTGTAAATACGGACATAGCTCTTATATCTTCTGAAATCGACGCGTTTATACATACGGACAGACGGACGGAAAGACAGACGGACAAAGCCAAATCGACTCAGCTCGTCACCCTGATCAAGAATATATATACTTTGTGGGGTCTGCCACGCCTCCTTCTGCCTGTTACATACATTTAAAAAAAAAAACCATTATACCCTGATTTCCCATTGAAAATGGGTTCAGGGTATAAAAATATAATATAATCTGATTATACCATACAAAAATGTCAATGAACAATTGATAATATGATAGACTACGATAAATTTAAATTAACAATTGATAGTCAATTTAATTAAATATTGATTGCATCTATTTGCTCAGCACTCAATTCAGTTTATCCCAATTCGATGTAGTACGCAAAAGCAACAAATAAGTATGTCACAATAAATAGTACAATTACCTTCTCACACACAGTTTTGTTTATGACATCCGCCTCGCAGGCTTCAGGCGGTATATTTAGAACATATTGATCACAAATGAATGTGGAGGAAAACGGCATCGATGGCGGTGAAAGAGAATTTCACTGTCATGACCAACAGTTTCATTGTCCCAAAAAGGGCAGCAAAACTTTTATTGTCTACCCCAACGCCTGCTGCCACGCCACGCCCCTCTATGCCTTGCATATCAATTAACATGTTGAGTGTGTTTCCATGTTTAACTGTCACTTCTGTACGCATCATGCAGTCCTAGACCCGAACCCAAGCCCAAGCCTTCCGATTCCCAGACCCAATCATGGAAAACGGAAGGGGGACTGGCTCGGCGTCAGCCCTCGCTTTGTCAGTTTTTGTCTGCGCAGCTCCCCATCATATGATTTGTGCGTGACCATGCGAAATGTAAATTATTTATATGCGATGTAGCTGTTTCTGACCGTCTTTATATAAAGCATTAAACCCGCTGAAAAAAAAAAATATGGCCAAATGTTAACTAAGCGTGGCCCACCATAGAGCTGGGTAAGGACCGCGCATTGATTGGCATTTGACCAGAGCCAACCAAATATAGCTTGTGTGCTCTGAATACTAGAACCAAAATTAATCGAGTCAGAGTCCGTGCGAATATTGTCCCTTTGAATGTCAAGCTTTGCATAAATTAAACAGACAAATACGAAAACACAACTTACAATGCTGTTGAAATATGAAGTCCAATCTGAGTGGCAGAGATAAGTTATGTTTTCGGAAGAGAGCTGGAAGATTGAAAACTCGATCAATGACTGAGGTGGTGTTATTATTATGAATTTTCTCTGTAAGCGTGACTAATCAAAAATATGTATGTGCTATCTTTTGCAGCTTGGGATCATAGACCTCTGTTAAATATTGACCAAAAATTATAAATCAACGCCTACTGGAGATTAATAAATCAAGAAAAATGTTATCCCTGACAGCCAGCCTTACAGCTAGAAACCCCAAATTGAATTGTTTTTTTTTTTTTTTTTTTTTAATTATTTGGAAGTTCTAGGGTATGAGCTTAAAAATTGGACTCCCTCATGAGTTTCACCAAAAGAATTTTGAATGTTTTAAGTGTTATGCACTCGGTAGTACAAACTTTGGGTCTTTCGCACTGGACCTGATTCTGTAACTCTGTGAAATTGCTTGAAGGGTCTTAGGAAAACTAATCGAACATGCTTTAAGCTGATCTAAAAGGTATACGGCCTAGTTAAATTATACATATATCTATTTAATGAAAATTGGCTTCTTATAGCTTTCTTTATAGTTTTAACTGTTTTATCAATGATGCTTTCTCGGAATGAAATATTTTAAACTGATTTCATCAACTCCCAAAGAGTGCATTATACACCTTCAAGGATCTGTTCTTTTTCGTAAAGTCGGTTGAGTGCATTCGCCCGTTTTGCCTTGAGTTAAGTGGCGAACAGCTTGACGGCTAATTGCTGGTTCTGAATTCGGTCGGGTGTATGCATTCGACAACGCCCACAGAAAGTAAACGAAAACGAAGGTGTGCTTCTTTGATTGGGCAATTAGGTGCAGAAACGCCCCTCTAAAAGCTGGGCTTGATATTATGAAATGATTACTATTCAAAAAATTTGAGACGCCTTGCGCTGTGAAATATGCAACACTTTTTTGTGTGAACCAGCCGAAACAATTGGCCAATTAAGTCAAGAGTTTGGTCGACTGTTCGGCCCCCTCCCAACAACGTCTCTGGCTTATGGCACAGCAGAAGTAGCGGACAGGGGCGGAGCTGCTTTGCATGCCAGGCGAGCATTTTGTGGCCATTTGCGTGCCGCCTCGTCGGCCATGAAAAGAGCAGGATGCACAGGAGGCTGGCTGGGAGTGCGGTCAGCTTTGGACTGCAATTGGTAACATGTTTTATGCAGATTTGCAGTCGTTGGGCTTTTTCACGGTGTTCGATTTTAGCAGACATGCTGGCATTGCAAATTGAATGGCACACTTTCTGGAATGCCGTCCGCCATATTTCATTTCTAATTCGGTCTCCAGAGGTGGGAACATGATTTATAAGTACACTAAGCGAAACAGGCTGCATACGAAATTATAGAACGTAAAGTTGGATGCCTGACTCTGAATAGTTTTGAATAAATATAAATCTGACTAACCTTGTTAGGTATGTTAATATTTCAGAATCGTTTCACAATGTGAGTAAATATAGGAGTATTACTATTCGTGAAACTTAATGAGATTAGCCTGGTTATAATACTCATACGGAGCGTGTCCGTGCTATATTGGAAGATACCTGGCTCCGCTTAGACTTTGTCTATCTATACTTTGTCTGTCTTCAAGTGCGCAACAGCTATGCATGGGATCAAATCAACTTCACCTCGTACTAATTAAACTAAAAAGAAACGCTTTCTTTTAGTACTCGTAAGTAATTGTAGTGAGAGTTGCTGAAGAAGCCTGCCAGCTTTAAATAATATTCACATAAGATTATTTTCTACATCAAAATATTCCCTATTGTAAATAAGTTCCTCCAGTCTCGTCGTGACTGCTGACAATCACACATCTGATCTGAAACTCGACTTGTGACTTTTGTTAAATCGTGAATTAACAATAGGTTCAGGGTATAAAAATTGGTACAAAGCCGCGTTAGTGGCAAAAGAAAAAAAACTTGTACAGTGTCGTTTAAAGACACGGTGAAGACAATAATACTCTGCATTTCGCAAATTAATTATAATAAATATAAAATAATAAAGTTAAAGTGCAAATTGGTTGGTGGGGCTCCGGCCGCTTGCCAGCGACCGCCTGTCAAAATCAGCTGTTCTCTGGTTGGTGTCCATGGAAGTCGCACTGACTGGCTGTTGTCCAAAGAAGGTCAACAATCAGTAGTGTTGCATACTCTTGGGCAGTCGCAAATTTGGCAACAACAAAGTTGTGAATCTTGCCCAGAATGGATGAAGGCTCAACTAATCAACCGCAGCTTTATATCAAGCAGGACAGGTCTGAGAGGATGAGAAATATAGCCGGTGCGACGCCTGCAGAGCTGCGCACCCGACTGGCCGAAGAGCAATTAAAAGCAATGCAAGCTGCAAGAAGTAGAGTGGGTTTGGTCGCAACAAGCACTAGCACCATTACTACGAACACCCTAATCTTTTCTAATGTTAGCTGCACTGCTAGCTATACTACTGGGAGCATATGTTCTACTGCCCTTGTTTCTAGCGCCGCATCTTCTTGCGCAAGTGTGGCTGCTAGCCCTTCACAAAAAAAAAAAACTGCACTTTCCAATCTACTAAGCTGGCTGTCTCGAAAAAACATAAAAAAAGCGGACAAACTGTCAAAAACAATCCGCAAAATTAAGCCAGCCCAACTTAGCGTAAATTTTGGGAGCCTAACCAAAAGCCCTGCTGCATCTTCCTCGGCAGCTAATTATAGCAATCGCTTCGCAGCTCTGGCTGAAGAAGCCGAATCCCTAATGGATATGGGCGAAGAAGTTCAAGATAGGGAAAATGAAAGCAACCGTCATCCTGATAGGGAGAAACAGGAAAACAAAATACCTAAGCCTCCAGCTATTTGCGTGCCGCAGGTTCAATCAAATTTGAGGCAGCGTTAAGCTCTGTTATCGCGGATACCGAGTATGAAATACGCATATCCAGATCTGGAATCTCGCGTATTTATACAAAGAACTCAAACGCATTTAGATCTGTCGTTGACATATTATCCAAGCAAAATTGTCAATTTTGGCATCAACTAAGAGAAAATACACCATATAGAGTGGTCATTAAAGACTTACACCCAACGTCTCGAAACATCGAATTGAACGCGCTTTTACTGATCGGAGCCTCACAGTACTGAACAACTACTGTCCCAGGAAACGAGACTGGCGCAATATTGAGATCAATGAAGAGGATGATGACGAATCGAATGATGCTAAAACAAGACAAGGCATGTTCTTTGTTAATTTACAGAAGACTTTAAATGTTGCAGAGGCTTTTAAAAAAAACTCATATTGGAACGCACAGAGTTACAATATTAAAAGCAAAACACAACAGGGAAATAGTTCAGTGCTTCAGATGCCAAGACTACGGACACACGACAAATTATTGCCTCAAAAAACCAGTTTGTGGTAAGTGCTCAGGTGACCATTTTACTGGCTCCGAGAATTGCCAGCTAAAGTCTAGTGAGACCTCCATATGTGCCAATTGTGGAGACAACCACATTTCCAGCACTAAAAGCTGCACAGTCAGAGTCAAGCTAAGCACAAAGCTAAAGCCTGATGCCAAACAATAACAATCATGCAGACATTCAGAGTTCTAGAGCGCAGTTTATTTCAAACGCCACTGTTCAGAGAGGCTTTTCTTATGCGGATAATGTCAGGCCCAAAGTAAATCAGTTAAATATTTCCAGAACACAAGTATCTAGGACAAATGACAATGCTGATGACCGAGAATACGGCAGCAAATTTAACATTTTAGAAAAGGTAATATCAGATCTAAATGCAAGAATGGATCAAATGTTCAAATGTATCCAGGAAACAATGGAAGCAAACAAAGCCTTTCGTGTCCTGGCTCAGAAGCTCATTTTAAAATGATCAATTCGAGTTTAAAAATCGGATTGTGGAATGCAAGAGGATTGGTTAAAAGCAATAACGAGCTGAGACTTTTCCTTGATGCTAAATCAATTGATGTGATGTTGGTCACAGAGACGCACATGAGCCCAGGCCCTAAAATTTGTACACCTGGATACAACCAATACTACGCAAATCACGCCAGTGGTACCGCGAAAGGCATATCTGCTGTGCTGATAAAATTTAACATTGTTCATGACGCCAATGAACCGATTTCAAATAATATTTAATCGGCTAGTTTGAGTTTGATTACAAACATCGGAAGCGTCATAATATCATCAATCTATCTTCCTCCTAACGAACCCTGGAATGAAAATGACTTTAAGGTACTACTTCAGTCCCTGGGAAAACGGTTCATTGCAGGAGACTTTAATGCAAAACACCAATGGTGGGGAAATTCGCAGTTGTTATCGTTGAAAGCGGCTGCAAGAGGCCATTGCAAGTGGTACGTGGCAAATCCTAGCAACCGGAAAACCAACTTTTTATTCATTCAACACCCTGCTTACTCCCTCTGCACTCGACTTTTTCATATATAATGGGTTCGCTGCTAACAAGCTATCTGTCCAGCTGCGTCATGAGCTTTCGTCGGATCATTTGCCGGTCGTAGCGACTTTGCATCAATCACCACAGCTTAGACCTATGAGGCAATACATCCGTACACCTGGAGCTCGCATTAATGAATTTAGGACAAACTTAGAGAGCAGAATTCATCTAAACACTCAAATAGATAGCGCGGCTGACGTAGAAAATGCTATTACAATGTTTATGCGAAACGTATCTTTGGCTGCATCATACGCGACCCCAGAATATGTACGTCATACAAGACAGCACTATCAGGATATGCTGCCCCCAAATACTGCTGCATTACTGCGTATGAAGAAAAGGCTGAGGAAAGAGTATGTGAGAACGGGAGATATACGCGTCCACCAGATTTATAAAAGAATCTCCAATCGCGTACAAAAAGTCCTCGCTAAAATCAAGCAACGCAGTATTGATCAAATGCTGGAAAATGCTGGCCCGGATGCGTCCTCTAACTACTCCCTTTGGAAGCTCACAAGTCGCTTTAAAAAAATTGCAGCTTCAAAAGTACCGATTAAGGATACGGCAGGTAGATGGTGCTACTCCAGCCAGCAAAAAGCTGATACATTTGCAGACAGCCTACAACAGCGATTCAGGCCATTCAACTACACCGACGATGCTACGCGAAGAACTGTTGAGCTGCAGTTGGATATGCCGTTCCAGATGACTCTGCCTAATAAATATTATTAAAAATCTGAGGGTTAAAAAATCTCCTGGAGAGGATAGGCTGGATAACAAAACACTCAAGCTCCTACCCAAAAAAGCTCTTCTGTTTATAGTGCTGATCCTAAACAGTATGCTCAGGCTGGGACACTACCCAAACATCTGGAAGACAGCACAGGTAAAAATGATCCCAGAGCCTGGAAAGAGTCTTAGTGAAGTAGATGGGTATAGGCCAATAAGTCTTCTTCCTGCCGTAGGAAAGATGGCCGAAAGAGTAATCCTTGACCGCATCCTGCAACTTCAAGCAGTCAAGCAAAGAATCCCAAATTGGCAATTTGGATTCAGGAGAGGTCATGGTACTCCGGAGCGGCTTCACCGTGTGGTCAATTTTATCCTGGACGCTTTTGAACACAAGAAGTATGCAGTTGCTGTCTTCATGGACATAAGGCAAGCGTTTGACAGAGTCTGGCATGACGGACTACTATTCAAACTTAGAAGCGTTTTCACTCCACAATTGTACCAGATTGTCAGCAGCTTTCTGTTGATGTTGATGGTATTAAATCGTCAAAAAGACCAATATGTGCAGGCGTGCCTCAAGGTAGCGTTCTCAGGCCTACCTTGTATACTCTGTTCACAGCCGATATGCCCTCACATAGCGACATCACAGGAGTAAACCGGAACAATGTACTGATAGCCACGTATGCCGACGATACACCCTTACTGACAAGTAGTACCTGCATCAATAAAGTTACAGAGTCATTGCAGCAGTACGTGAGCAGTTTTGAAGACTGGGCCCGCAAATGGAACATTGGAATTAACGGGAGCAAATGCGCAAACGTTACGTTTACCACAAGGCTTTTAAACTGTGGTCGCATTAGCATGCAGGGTTCAACACTACTGCACAAAAGAAGCCACAAATATCTGGGCGTAGTGTTAGACAGAAAGCTTACATTTAACATACACACCACGATGGTCAAAAAGACTGTAATGACCAAAAGCGCAAAGATGTTATAGCTTCTTAAACCGGCCAATAAATTGTCACTGTACAATAAAGTAACAATTTATAAATCAATAGCCCATATGGAGATATGCGCTTCAAGTCTATGGAATTGCGGCTAAATCAAACTTAAATAAAATAAGAGTTGTGCAAGCAAAAATCCTCCGGCAAATTTGCAATCCTCCCTGGTACATGCGTATCAGGGACATTGAAAAAGATCTCAGGGTCCCCAAAGTTGGAGACGTAATGCAAAAGGTAACTGCTAGCTACCTTGCAAGACTCGAAGGCCACCACGCAG